ACTGTTTCAAAACAAACAAGGAAGACAGGAGGAAGAGAAAGAGATAAGAAAGGAAAGAAGCAAAAAGAGATCTATGAGGGGTTTTGTGTGTGTGTGTGTGTCTCACCACACACTTATGGCTGACTTTGAATTTACTTCGTAGCCCAGGCTGGTCTGGAACTTGCAAAGATCCTCCTGCCTCAGCCTCCTGAGTGCTGTGATTATAGGAGTGCACCACCACACCAGGCAGGTGTTTTTTTTTTTTTTTTAATATATCTTATCTAGTTGGCCCTGGTAATTTATTTAAATATTTAAATGTACTACCTGTAATTCCACCTGGTAGCAGGATTGCCAAGTAACATCCAGGATATCCAGTTAAATGTGAATGTTAGATAACATTTTAGCAAGCTGGGATATAGCTCAGCAGCGTGGCACCTGCCTGGCAAGTGCGAGATCCTGAGTTTGATTTCTGAATGAAAAAAACATAGCATAAGTTAACATTTTGCCAAATTTATGCTAAAATTATCCATTGCTTATCTGAAACTCAAATTTAAGTGGGTATTCTATATTTTTGTTTTGTAGATCTGGCAACCCTCACTGGTGTCAGAGACAGAACTCATGTTTCTCATTTTGTAGGTGAGGAAGCAGCAGCAAAGAGGGGACTAACGGAGCCACAGCCTCGGTCTTAAGTAGTTTCTTTGGATCTAGGTCTCAGGTGCTCTGAAGCCGCAGGCATGTCTCCTCTCCACAAGCATCCAGCTTTTCAGCTCTCCGCTGTCTCTGGCAATCAAAAGCAGAGCAGTTCCAGGGAAGACAGGGGCAGAGCATGACTAAGTGTTCTGCAAGGAAAGCCGATGCATGCCAGGCAGCAAGTGGGCCGCAGCGTTTCTCTCCCAACTTCTTCCAGCTCCGCAGCCGGCTTCCTCCCGTCCTCCTCTTCCAAGTGACCTGGAAAACGTCTTCCCTTGCCTGCATTAGTGGCAGGCTCCTCAGGGCTTCCAGTCCCTCCTCTCTGAGCAAGGCTGGGTCCTGTCCTGGCTGGTGTAGGTATCCTAGGCAGAAGGAGGGTGAAGATGCTCAAGGCTGTATCAGCCACTTTTCCTGCATGTTGTTTTTAAACCAGGCCAAGCCTGGCCTGAGTTGTTGATCAAGGGACCTGACAGCCAGAGCCAGCCACAGGGCATGAAAGAATGAGGGAACAGCCTGGCTGGGTTCCCTCACTGCCTTTAACATGTCCCTCTCTTCTTCACTAACCACCTACTCTGGATTTCCATGAATCTGCACATTTTAGGAAGTAGGAGCTACTTTTTTTTTTTTTTTTTTTTTTTGTCTTTTTGAGACAGGGTCTTGCTATGCAGTTCAGGCTGGCCTTGAGCTCACTTTGTAGCCCAGGCTGGTCTCGAACTCGCAATGATCCTCCCACCTCAGCCTCCCGAGTGCTGGGATTACAGGTGTGAGCCACCACGCCCGGCTCTTTATGTGAGATTTGATTACTGAGACTCAGTAGTGACTTTGTTTAAGACTGCCAAACAAATGTAACAGTGGCTGCGCCTTTGAGAGTTGTCCTTGACAGTTAATTTTGCTTCTTCTCCTTCTCCTGCCATTGGAAATTGTAAAGAAAAGTGGTACTTACATGATAAAGGAGTTAATGGCTAAATAATTCTTTCTTTTTAACTTTTTTTTTATCGGTACCGGGGATCGAACTCATGACTGCCTGCTTGCAAAGCAGGTGCTTACGTCACTGAGCTAAATCCTCAACCCCAAATAACTCTTTCTTTAGATTCACAGAACCCAGAACATCTGATGACTTCTGATGATAGATAAAATGTGTAAAACCTCTCCTTTAAAAAAAAAATCTATGTATCACCTAATACAAAGCATCTAAACCGCTGTGGCGGTGACATTGCAGAAGAGGAACGTGTTTGTAACCACCACCTGGAGATCAGGGCTCTTGGAATGTTTCAGCCTGAGGAAAGGAGATACATCCTGAACATGACCTAGTCTTCTGCTCATTGCCCCTCTGTTCCTCCTTTGCCACCTTTCAAAAGTCTTTGGTGTCCTTGAGTTATCTCAGATGGGGAACGGAGACATTCCCTCATTCTTTTTCTGAATCCCTATCTCACCAGAATGCTGGCCTGCAGATTAAACCGTTTCCTTTGACCAACTCTCATCTCCCAAGAATTAGCTTTCCAATGGCAAGCAGCCTGGAATGGCAAGTTGTTGACAGGACTGAATTTTTGATCCATATGTCTCTGAACTTTAAATTATTAAATCTTACTAGATACTGCTTCCCAGATCAGAGCAAGCTAATCCTATTGGTATTAGCAAGAAGTTTAGGATAGTGTGGTCCTGTGGTTCTCAAAACGTAATCCCTTAGAATTGGCATCACCTGGGAACTTTTTTTTTATTTTCATGTTTTTGAGACAGGGTCTTGCTATGCAGTTCAGGCTGGCCTTGGGCTCATTTTGTAGCCCAGTGTGGTCTCAAATTTGCAGCAATCCTCTTGGCCAACCCTCTGAGCCACCACGCCCAGTTTACCTGGGAATTTTTAGAAATGTTTATTGAGACCTATCATAGTCCTTCCTCAGAAATTATGGAGGTGGGACTGGGGTTGTAGCTCTGTGTTACATTGTGTGACTAATATGACCAAGTCCCTGGATTCAGTCCCCAACCTGAGTGGGGTGGAGGGGCAGAAGGGGGAAGAGGAAAGGAGAGGGAAGTGGAGTGGGGTAAGAGGGAGAGGGAGGAGCTGGGGGGGAGGGGAGAAAGGGAGGGGGGGTCAGGGAGAGAGGGGGAGGAGGCGGAGGGACAGAGGGAGGGAGGGAAAGAGAGATTGATGATTGATTCTTCTTGGAGAGGAGGCTGGGAGTGTAGTTTAGTGCCTAGCATGTATGAAGCCCTAATTTTGATCTCCAGCACCAAGAAAAAAAATTCTGGTGCCAATTTCTGACATTCTGAGTTTTAAAAAGCCCTCTAGGTGATATTAATGCATTCTACAGTTTGAGATTCTTTGGCATGTAGTAGGAGATGCATTTGTTTTTGGAACAAAATGAGTCTATTCAAAACATGTTTGTTGCCAGACATTGTGGCACATGCCTGTAATCTCAGCAGTCTGGGAAGCTGAGGCAGGAGGACTGCAAACTTGAGCCCCACTTGGGTGTTTTTACAGTTTAGTGAGTTAGCCAGACTGTATCTCAAAAAAAAAAAAAAAGATAAAAATAACAACAACAAAGAACACCCAGTGGGAAGGGCCCTGGGTTCCATCCCCTGTACTACAAAAATACATAAATAAAAAGTGAAGTTTACTGAAAACTTTAATTTTTTTTTTTTGGTGGTGATGGTACTGGGGATGGAGACCATCAGTACTTTATCACTGACCTCCACCCCCAGCCCTTTTTATCTTTTATTTTGAGGCAGTCTCACTAAACTGCCCAGACTGGCCTTGAACTTTTGATCCTCTTGCCTGAGCTTTCTGAGTAGCTCAGTGGTACATACAAGCTTCTTGGTTCAATCCCTGATACTAAAGACAGTTCTCAAGCTCTATTCCAAAAACAGTGAATCAGAAACTCTGGGAATGGAGTCTAGCAATCTATGGTTTAACAAACCTTCCAGGTGATTTTGATAAGAACTAAATTTTGAAAACCATTGCCCTAAAGAATCAGAATTGAATAAGAGCCTAAGGAATCTGAATTTATAGTGAGCTTTTCTGAGGCATAATATAGGGTAGAAACTGACACAGTAGCTTGGAAAGAACTTTAAAAGTGTAAAAGTCAATTTCCAGATGGTAAAATATTATTTTACTTCAGAGGAAACAGGCCGAACAATAATAGCAAAGGTCACTAATTACTGAGTTCTTAGTCGTGCCTCTGAGTCACTCTGTTCGTAATCTATTAATTCTCACAAACAGTTGGTGAAGGAGTTTAGAAGGATGGACTCTGAAGCAACTGCTTGAGTTCTTATCCAGCCTGCAGCTTGATTTATGTATTTGGTTTTTTGTTTTTTTTTTTTGGCTTTTTCCTTTTTATCGGTACCAGGGATCGAACTCACGACTGCCTGCTTGCAAGGCAGGCACTTATGCCGCTGAGCTAAATCCCCAGTCCCTGGTTTATGTATTTGTAAGATGTGGATAATAATGGTGTTCTCTTAGGTTTGTTGTGAGGATTGCAGGCGCCTACCCTTCAGCTCTTAGACGTTGGCAGCATTAAATTGTTGTCATCATCCTCAAGAACACCTGCCAGCCTGGCATGGTGGTGCCCACTTGTAATCCCAGCATTCCAGAGGCAGGAGAGTTGCGCTGAGTTCGAGGCCAGCCCTGGGCTGTGAAGACAATTCAAGGCCTGCCTGGATTGCACAGTGACACCCTGTCTCAAAAAAATATCAAAGTGAGGGTGGGGAGGAAAGGAAGAAGGAACAACAACAGACCAAAACCAAAACAAAAAACCACTCTGTTAAAAAAAGTGGGGAAGAGAGAATTTAAACCCCATTTGTGTAACTCTGAAGTGTGCATTTGGGGTGGAGGGAAGCAGGGTCTTATTATATAGTTGAGGCTGGTCTTGGACTCACAGTGTAGCCCTGCCTGGCCTCAAATTTATGGAGATCCTCCTGCTTCAGCCTCCCAAGCGCTGAGATTACAGAAGTAAGCCAACATGCCCAGCTGAAGTGTGTATTTTTAAGGATTATAATCCATTAGTTCTCAAATTATAATTCTCGCTGTCGGTAGCATCACCAGAGAATTTGCTAAAAGTTCAAAGTATGAGGACTACCCCCAATCCCATATTTACTGAATTAGAAATTTTGGGGGAGATTCAGCAGTTTAAGTTTCAAGAAGCCCTTCAGGTGACTGTGTTGCACATTAAAGTTTGGGGACCACAGCTAAGCCCTAGAGGCCTTGGTGGGCCGGGAGTTAAAAACAAAGAGAAGCCCGCAGGTGCTTGCTGTGGGCACGTCGATGTCCTTCTCACCTGGAGGTGAGGAAAACTCGGATTTAGCTGGCAGGTGCGCAAGGCCTGCCGGGGTTCGTAGTCTGAACGGCTGCTGAGTGGCGACGCCTGCGCACTGGCCGCTTACTTGCTCTAGTCGCTGTGCTCCGGGCTCGGGACCGGCTGCCATCTTAGTCGAGGGACTGAGCAGTCGCCGCCGCCCCGAGTCCCGGTAAACACTCGCGGGCGGATGGAGGGCAGCGCTGGGCTAGGGAAGGAGCCTGGATGAGAGTGGCCGGGGAGGACGCGGGGGTAGAGGAATGCGGCTCGTGAGTCGGGACCGCAGAGCCGTGGCTGCTGCCTCCCTCACAGCCGCTGCCTGTGGGGGCGCCGGGATCTCGGGTAGTGCCCGGCCCGGCGACGAGGGGTGGGTCTCCAGGACGCACGGAGCGGCCACTGCCTGCTAAAGGCGACCCTCGCCCGTCGTCTCCCTGGATTGTGACGCTGCTGAGCCACGGCGGGCGTGGGCAGCGTCTGGCCCCGCGTCCCAGCCGCACTCGGGGCCACTGTGCCGCCGTCCGGCCTGCGCGCGGGGTCCGGCGGCCGCGGCCGGGCCGGCGACGTGGCCCCGAGGGGTGGCGCTGGGCCCACCTGCCTCCGGGCTGGCCTTGCAGAGTTTCGGAGCCCGCACTCGCGTGGCCCTGCACGGCGACTGCCCCTCTCCTGCCGTCCCCTGGCGCCTCTGTCCATTGTCCCCCCGCGTGGTGGTCCTGGCCGGCCCCCTCCTCGGCGCGGCCGCACCCCCGGGCGGCGCTGGCTTGTGCAGACGTGGAGCTGTCACTGCCCTTCCTCCCGAGTGTCCTTTTCTGTAGCAGGGAAAAGCTAAAAGTAGCCGTGACTACTGAAAGTGGCCAAACATGATGAGCATGACTTGTAAACGGAGAACTCAAGTTTTAAGACTTGGTTCCTGGCCTCGACCTTCTGAAAGACAAGGAAACTGGGGTCCCTGCGCCCGAGGTAGACGTCAGGCCTAAAGTTAGTTGGGAATGCTGGCTAGGTGAACTTGCACAGCACCCTAAATTCCTAGTTTCCCAGTAACTTTCCGGTTTTCTTATTACCTTTTTTTTTTTTTCTGTCTTTTTGAGACAGTGTCTCGCTGTGCAATTCAGGCTGGCCTTATGCTCACTTTGTAGCCCAGGCTGGTCTCGAACCTGCAACGATCTTCCTACCTCAGCCTCTACCACGGAAGGCAACTGCGGTTTTCTTGGCTGTTTGTATTCTAAGCTTCTTTCTTTTTCTGCCACTGTTGACAGCTTCGGTAAACTTGTTTTCAAGTGGGGTTTGGGTAAAAAGAATGAAATTTTTCTTTGAAGATTAGAGAACACAAATCAGACAAATTATCTTTGCGTTTAAGTAGTTTCTCCACGTATTTGTAACACTATTCCGTCTTAGGGAAGTATGTAAAGGCATTGTTTCCACTCTCAAAATTGGCAAAGGACTTGATTCTTATCTGAAATAGAGTTCTGGTGGCAGATTTGGTGAGAAACTGTACTGTGTAGTCACAGGTTTACTCTAGTTGTATTTCTTTTATCTCTCAGATTCTTTTTTTGAACAGTGAATGTCCATTTTTGGGAGTGTTAAGTCCAAAAGGAGTTAATTTGTTTTCAGAGTACGTGAATGAGTGTGATATAAAATAAAAAATAAGTACAGAGTATTTTTTCATTGTATTCTGTAAAATTGTACCTTTTTTCGGGGGGAAGAGTGGTTAGGGTCTTGCTATGTAGCCCAGGCCTGCCTTAAATTCTGGATCCTCCTACCAGAGGGTCTGAGTGCTGGGATTACAGACATGTGCTATGTGCTCAGCTGCATCATCTTCACATTTTCTGGGAGAGAGACCATCTTATGGTTCATAAATTTGACCATTACAACTGTAAAGAGAACTTTTAAAAGTTGCAGAGTCTCATTTCTGGGATTGATCAGTCAAAGTTTGCTGCTCCCAATTTATTTTTAAAACATGCTACAGATAATTCTATGGTTGGGCTAGGGGTATAGGGCCATAGCATAGTGCCTGCTTGGTGAGTGTAAGATACTAAGTTCGATTTCTGGTACTCCCCTGCTCCCATATGATGGCGTTGGAAACCACTGAGGAAAATACAATACTGTGAATATACCAAGGATAGTTCAGAAAGCTTTGAGACCAAAAAGAGGAAGTAGCTTCTTTGTGTTTTTGTCAGAGGAGGAGGCAGGATTTGCCTGTGGTTTTAGATGATTTTAGATATGACTTTAGGTGATTAGTTGGAATGTGACAGAGATGGGGAAAGTGAAGGACAGGGTAGGCAGAAGAAACATCTTTGCTATGGGTAAGTTCAGAGGACTGAGAGGAAAGGAGTTCATGGAATAGAGAGGCAAAGGAAACCATTATGGGACATAAGAAGGATAAAAGGGAGCCCGTCCTGGTGGCTCAAACCTATAATCCCAGCATTTGAGAAGCTGAGGCAGGAGAATCCTTGCAGTTCGAGACCAGCCTGGGCTACAAAGTGAGCTCAAGGCCAGCCTGAACTGCATAGAGAGACCCTGTCTCAAAAAGACAAAAAAAAAAAAAAAAAAAAAAAAAGGAAACAACTGTGAAGAATTCTAAGCATAATGCTAAAATTTTAAAATTTCATTTTGTTAGATAGGGATGTGATGTGAATACATGGCATTAGTAATAAGATTGAAAGGGCAGGGGCTGGGGATTTAGCTCAGTGGCATAAGCGCCTGCCTTGCAAGCAGGCAGTCGTGAGTTCGATCCCTGGTACCGATAAAAACGAATTAAAAAAAAAAAAAAAAGAATGAAAGGGCAGAAGCGTGGCTGTTGCAGAATGCTTGGTGAGAAGTAACAAAACTTGACCTTGGGTCTGGGATGATCAAAGGATTGTTGTTTTTTTATATGGGGAATCGAACTTGCCACTTTGTGCTTGCCAGGCAGGTGCTGTGCCACTGAGCTAAATCCCCAGCCTCTTTTTTTGTCTTTTTGAGACAGGGTCTCGCAGTTCAGGCTGTCGGTGAGCTCACTTTGTAGCCTAGGCTGGTCTTGAACTTGCAACAGTCCTACTACCTCAGCCTCTGGAGTGCTGGGATTACAAGCATAAGCCACCACGCCTGGTTTAGATATAGCTCTTTAATACTGTAGTTGTATTGTTATATTTTTGGATGTGAAGTTTTTTTAAACAGTCTGAATAAAGGACTTTTCTATCAAAAAAACACATAGCAAACCTCAAATAATATTTTAATATATAAATATATAAATAACATTGTGTATGTTAATAGTATCAGAATGAATTGTTCATTTGCATATTTAAGAAATTAGAATGAAAGGCTGGGGATATAGCTCAGCAGCATAAGCACCTGCCTAGCAAGTGCAAGGTTGTGAGTTTGATTCCCAGTACCAAAAAAGAAAGAAAGAAATTAGAATGAAATGGATCAGGGACAGTTTGGAAGAGAACTTAGGAGTTTGAACTGAAACTCATGATGTTGACAGTATTGATAATAGGTTTGTTAGAAATTTCTGTTGTCCAGCGGTATAAACTTGAATTTTGAGTTTTATGGTAAATGGATTTTGGTTTATAGGCCAATTCTGATTGGAAAACTGAGAACACTGTGTTAAGAAGGATTCTAGCTGCATTTGTTTTGTGGGACAGCGTTTTATGATTAATTAGTAATAACTCCAGTGGACTGCACCTCCTGTAATATGTCTGGTGTAGGTGGTATGTATTTGCTGGGTGTATACTATACTGCCCTTTTAGTTTTTTTTTTTTTGTTTGTTTAAAAAGAAAAATTTGCTCAGTGCAGTAGTGCACACTTGTAATCCCAGCTACTAGGAAGGTTGAAACAGGATCCCAAGTTTAAAGCCATCATGGGCTTGATGTCCTGAGTTTAATCCTTAATATTGGGAGGAAAAGCACATTTCAGAAAATAATTGGGGTGGAGGGGAGAGTATTTTATATAAAACTAGTTAAAGAGTTAGAGCTAGAATTAAAATCAGTCAAGTTACCAAAGTGAATGTGTACTTAAAGAACTTACAATACTAGAACAGGGGAAAACAGTTATTGTATATTGTATTTCTAGCCTGTGCCTATTGATTGTTTAGGTAAGATTTAATGACATCTTTGGCCTCGAAGTTTTGTTCATTCTTGTTTAAGAAATTTGTAGTAAAAATGGCATGGAGTACATCCTTATAATTTCAGCACTCTGGGACTCTGAGGCAGGAGAATCAGTTAAGCCCAGCCAGCCTTGGGCAATTTAGACTTTATCTAAAAAAAAAAAAAAAAAAAAAAAAAGAACTAGGGATGTATCTTTGAAGGCTCTGGGTTCAATCCTCAGTACTAGGGCAATTTTTTTTAAAAAATGTGTATTAGTATTGATCAAAATTGCCATCTTTCCCCACCACTTTCTTGATTTTGTTTATATGAATAAAGACAGAAAGCATATAGCTTTTTTGTTTTTGTGTTTTGTATGTGTGCGTTTTGGTAGTACCTAGTTAAATTCTGAACTTACAATAAGCATTTGGTAAAGCCATGTTGATTCCGTAGCTGTAAATGACACTGGCTTTGAGTCAATATTAAATAAATCAGCAAGGGGAGTCGTAGAACTGAATTGCAGCTTTCTCTTTATCAGCTAAAAATGTTAAGTTAGAAACCATCCTTATAACTAGAGGCAGTTAACCAGAAGGTCTTCTGCCCCTTCCTTCTCTGCTGTGTCAGGCACTGTCCTTGGAACACTGCTGCTAGCTCAAATCTTTTCAGAACTGATTATATCCAGAACCTTGGAGTCCTTTTTCTTTTCCTGTTCCTAGGAGTCTCCCAAGTTGCAGGGAATGTCCTTGGAGTGACCTATATTGGCAGAATGTATGGCTGGCCATTCTCATTTTGCCACATGTCCATCATACCCAAGTGGGTACCTCCCCATATTATGTATAAATCATTTTATCCTAAGCTCTTTTATCTTGCCTACTCCTTCAAAAATTACCCCATGATAGTTTTTTTAAAAAGATCTTGTGCTGGAGGAAAAACAAAACCAAACCTTATTCTGTGAGATTTCCAAGGTTGTTATAGACCTGATGTGTTTAAACACCATAGGAAAACTATGTTAATGGACCCTCCTTTTCTTCTCAGGTAACATGCATTTCACAGTGGCCTTCTGGAGACAACGCCTTAACCCAAAGAAGTGACTTGAACAGTGAGAACTTCAGGTATGGTTACATTCCTCTGAGACAGATTTGGGGACAGGGTAGTACAGAGGGCAAGGCCTGGTCATATAACTGCTGTGTGGAAGTGTGGGGAGAGTAATATTGTTGCTAACTATATCATTTGATTGGGGAAATAGGCAGTGTCCTCTTGGATCTGAATCCAAAAACCTTCTTTGCAAGGACTAGCCTATATTGTCTCAATTTGGATTCTCTGACTTTATGATTTTTATATAACTCCTTATATATATGCACTTCCTACTCGTGCTGTTTTATATGTAATTCTCTGTAAACTTGTTCAGACATGAAAATATGTATGTGTTAAGAAGTAGAGGAATTTAAAAAAAAAAGAAGTAGAGGAATTAAAAAGAGGGCAGCACAGAGTGGTAGAACAGATCAGAAAGCAAACATCTAGGTTCTTACTTGATTTTTGTTACTGACAAGCCATATGACTTTTGGCTGCTTATTTGGTCTTATTGGGCCTTAGTTTATATTTCTTTAGCATAGGTATGTTGATTCTTACTTGCCTCCCTGGCATTGTTAGAACCAAATAAAATAATACATACTAGGAATATAGCTCAGCGGCAAAGTGCCTGCCTGGCAAGCATGAGGTTGTGAGTTTGATTTCTGGTACCAAATTAAAAAAAAAAAAATACTAAAGCTTTAGGAAAGAAAATGGGTCCATGATTTAAGACACAGAAGATCCACAAAATGGGAGAAGTGGCAATATATTTTATTAACAAGTCAAGAGGGAGACGAGACAGACTATTGGTTAAGAAAATAAGTAGAATATAAAGTCAGGCAGAAAAAGAATAGGGAGTGAATGAAGTAGAGGAGGTGAATTGTTACGAAAGAAAACTGAATAGGACGAGACAGTTAAAATAGAACTACCATAAGATCCAGCAATCTCACTTTTGAGTATATAGCCAAAGGAAAAAAAAATTACTATCTTAAAGAAATACCTATACTTCTGTGTTCCTTACAGTCTTGGTCTGTCTCTATACTGCAGACTCTATACTGCCTTCCGCACTAAATTCTGGAGCCCTACCATACAGGATAATAGCTATAGTTGATAGTTAAGTATACTTGAAATTCACTAAGAGTAGAAGATTGTGAGAATCACTACAAAAGTAACTATAGTGATGGATATGGTAATTGGCTTGATTTTTTTTTTTTTTTTTTTAAATCACATTTCAGGTAGTATACATATATCAAAGCATCACATTATATACCTTGAATATATAGAATTTTGTTTATTTATTTTACTGGGAGTTGAACTCAGGACCTTGTGCTTGACAAGTGGGCACTGTGCTGCTGGGCTATATCCCCAGCCCTAGAATTTTGTCAATTATTCTTAAGTAAAGCTGGAAAAGGGGGTTTTAAAAATGAAGAGTGGTTCTCATCTAACCTGACCTTGAGACTATCATCATCATCACCTCCTTTGACATACTCATTCAAACTTAGGTTCTTGTTATTACTGTAAATATCATCATCATCATCATCATCATTGTTATTTTTTTTTTGAGATAAGATCTTGCTATGCAGTTCAGGCTGGGCTTGAACTCACTATGTAGCCAGGGCTGGCCTTGAACTCACTGTGATCCTCCTGCCTCAGCCTCCCCAGTACTGGGATTATAGACATATGCTACTATGCCTGGCCATAATCTTTACTTTTTACTTTGTTCATCTTTACTTTACTTTGTTCATCTTTTGAACTTTGAGTCTGTATTTTTGTTAATTGCTCAATAAATGCTTGAGGTAGTCATGTGATTTGTTTATTGTGGTGCCCTATTTGTTATCAAATGAATGCGTAATCTGTTCTTTTTGAAAATTATGGAGAGGAGGTGGTGGAGTGATTTGTGAGAGATACTACAAAAAAAATAAGAGTTAAGAGAAGGAGAGTTACATGAGATGGTAAGAGGAAGAAGTCTCAGATGACAGGAAAAAACATGAAAGTGTAGAGAAAAAAATGGAAAACGAGATGGTATTATTGGCAGTAAAAAAGCAGCTTTTGGGGCTGGGGATTTAGCTCAGCGGCACAAGCACCTGCCTTGCAAGCAGGCAGTCGTGAGTTCGATCCCCAGTACCGATTAAAAATGAAAAAGACAAAAAAAAAAAAAAAAAAAAAATAAGGCAGCTTTCATCCCCCCTCCCTTTGTTTTGATGTCATTCCCAGGCTTTTAAACAATTTTTAATGTTTATTTTTGATTTTTTTGTTTTTGTTTTTTGTCTGGCAGAAAATTTGACTATGCTTTGGTCATGTCTTAAACCCTGCAGGAAACTGAGATTAAGGATGACAGACTAATTAATGTGGTGCAGAAAATTTCAAGGTAACTTAATGTACAGGCTGTAGCTGGGTACTACTTGGTACTTTTATTTTTATTTATTTTATTTATTTTTTGGTATCAGGGCTCAAACTTACAACCTTGCACTTGTCAGGCAAGCAGTTTATGTCACTGAGCTAAACCCCTGGCCCTACTGCTTGGTACTTTTAATAAGGTTTAAACTAAGAGATGGGAGCAAAAGCCCATTAAAAAGTTTTTAGTATCCAAAGAAAGAAAGAGCCTACTGAGTGGTTTCTAGAAGAGCAGGATTGCTAAGAAGATTAAAAAGGAGCTAAGTACTTTATATTAGGACAATAAGAAGAGTGACTTGAGGGCATCGTGGGAAACACTACCATCTCACCCTACACTCTACAAAAAAACACAAAAGACTGCTGTCAGAAGAACAGACTGTACTATTCTGGGCTGAAGAGGAAAATCTTTCCCAGAGTTCAGCCATCTAGGTACTCAGAAGCCTCTGTAATCATAAGGGGGTCCCTGCTATGGCTTGGGCTGGTAGCATACTTTGGTGTCATCCATGTGGTACTGGTTTTATAGGTGTGCTAGATGCAAGGGTTATGGGATCAAGGAATCTTCCACTCAGATTTCAGAAGACGGCCTGGCTGGCCCAAGCAGTGTGCACCTGAGAGGGCAGGGTAAGAGGTTGTGAGAGTGAAGCCAAAAGTACAGAGAGACCCCAGAAAAGTAGAGAAGCCAGGAATATGGAATGTCTGAGAAAAGCAGCAAGGAGTGACTAAAGCTAGCATAAGAGAGAAGCTGTAAAGGCTACAGCCATCAGGACTCCTATAGGGATGGGCCTATCCAAATCTTTGCAAATTCATATTATCACAGCTTGCCCTGTTGAGTTTTGGTCTTGCTTTAGTCCCATTGATTTTTATCTTCCTCTTCCCACCTTTTGGAATGAGAATGTTTACCCTGTGCCTTTTTATGTCAGCAGTGTTTAATGTTCTTTTGATTTTTACAGGGACCCGCAACTAAGAATTTGCTTTAAGTGTCAGAGGAGGCTTTGGACTTGGACTTTTCAGCAGTGCTGGAACTGTTAGGACTTTATAAATTCTTTGGGTTTTTTTTTTTTGGGGGGGGTGGTCTCTTTTGAAGCAAGGTTTCACTATGAATCTCAGGACTGGCCTTGAACTCACTTTGTAGCCCAGGCTGGCTTCAAACTTGTAGTAACTCTCTTGCCTCAACCTCCTGAGTGCTGGGATTACAGGTGTGCCCCTACATCCAGATCCAGGATTTTGTAAATTCTTAAGAGATGTGCTAAAATGCATTTGGTACAAAAAGATACATGTGAGTCTTTTGTGGAGTCAGAGTTAGGATGTTATGGTATAGAGAGTGTCTCCCTCAAAGCCGCTTGTTCTTCTGGGGCTTTTGTAAGGGTGATGAATTGTGTGGATGCTATAGCTGATGTGATATTAGGAGATGGGACCTGGTCAGGGGAGGCAGGTTGATGGGAATGTGACCTGTGAGATTATGTCTCCCTGCCTGGCTCCTTCCTTCACTTTACTTCCTGGCTGTGTCAGTGTGAACAGCTTTGCTCTGTAAGATACTGCATGTACCATATAGTCAACCAGGGACTGAAAACATGGGCCAGAGTAAACCTCTCCTTGTTTAAGTTCCCAGTGTTGAGTATTTTGTCCCAGCTTTGAGGAAAGTGACAGAGACATGGAAACAGAAAGATAAGGTAGGATCACAAGTTTGAGGCTAGGTTGGGGAATTTAGTGTGACTCCATTCTAAAATAAAGAGTCAGAGTTGTACTTTAGTCAGGAGTGTGGTGCTGGCTTAGTACTCTTGAGGCCCTGCCCCTGGATTCATTTCCCTAGTACCACCACCACAAAAAAAAAAAAAAAAAAAAAAAAAAGGTAAAAATCACATTTGAAAATTCACCACGTTAGGGTCCACAATTCAGGGTTAATTCACCGTTACCCTGGGAGTGAGTACAGATCAAGTATGACCTGAATATTACAAGTTTTTTCTAAAGAAAAGCTGGATATCCGGATTTTGTAAGAAATACTTATTTTTAAATGTTAGTAATTTGTGAATTAATAGTTTAAACACTGGGCAAACAAGTTGCTACTATGGGCAAAATTTGTCTTGTGGGTTGCCACTTTGCAATGTCTCATCTGGGCTTCTCTTTAGGTAGCACAACTCATGTTCTCTGCTCCCACAAAGTTCTTTCCCATATAAAGATTTAAAATAGTTATAAACTGGGTATGGTGGCACGTGTCTGTAATCCCAACACTATATGAGTATGAAGCAGGGAGATAAAAAGTTCAAGCCTGTCCTGAAAATTTAGCAATTTAGTAAGAGCCTTTCTCAAAATGTAAAAAAGGCTGGAGATGTACTTTAGTGTGAAAGTATATCTGGCTTCTATCCCTAGGACCACCAAATTTAAAAAAACAAAAAACAAAAACAAAAAAACACCCAAAAAAGAAATAGTTCAAGTGTATGTCAGAGCAGTCTCTAGCTGAATGAGGTGTATGTAGAATAATTGTTAAAGAATAGAGCAGGAGGAAAATTATTTAAGACTAGGATTCAGAGCCAGGAATTTAGCTCAGTTGCATAAGCAACTGCCGGACAAGCATGAGGTTGCAAGTTCAATCCCTGGTACCAAAAAAAAAGACTAGGATTCAAAATGTGGAAAAGTGTAGATTCAGAAATGATTATCAGGTGATGGTAGTGCAGTAAATGGATTATTTGAAATGTAAAAGGGTTTTATTGAGAGTCTGGTAATAGAAGATTTGTGAAACTTCTGAAGAGACCAGTGTCTTGTTTTGGGGTAAACTTGAGATCCACTAGCTGGTGGGATGAAATGATTTTTTATGAAGATCTATTTGGCAAATTGACATCTACAGTAATTGAGTAGGGTTGAATTATCTTGAAGATAAAGTGGTGGCAGTGGGAATCAAAGGGACAAAAGCTTGTGTAAGAGATGCACTTGGAGAGAAACATTTGTGGTGTATGAAGAGGACCAACTATGAAAGCTTTTTCTCTTAACCACTCTTTTGTTTTGGATCCCTCTCCTGTTTTGAATCTTGCTTGATTCCTCAAACCTATAGCACCCTTGTTTTTTACTTTTGGTACCCGGGATCGAACTCATGACCTCGTGCTTGCCAGGCAGGTGCTTATACTGCTGAGCTAAATCCCTGGCCCCTGTAGCACCTTTCTTAATGATAGATCACGCATGTATTCTTATGACTTCCTGGCTTGCACAAGTAGAACAGGAAGAAAAGCAAAACCTGTATAAGGATATTTCATAACTTCCTTTTTTTCTAATAAATATACTTGGTGTTAAAAAAAAAAAAACCCAAAACTAAAGTAGTTTAACTGCTTATCTCATTTCTGTTCTCAGGTTTGTGGTGATCTGAACCTCTGATAGGTTTCATTATACTTTATTACATTTATATGTGGAATTTCTGTGTTTATCAAGATTGAGAAACACTGACAAATGGTTTACTTTCAGAAAAGATGTAGAATTTTGCTGCAGAAACTGGATACAATAATTCTTGATTCAGAATGTTTAAAGAAACTGATAAATGTGATACAGGGTAGAATGTGTTCTAATCTGATTGTGATTTTTTTTTAAGATTTTATTTTCATTAGACCTTTCATTCTGTTTATACTTTCTTAGGAAAAAATTTTTGACATACACAGGGGAAGTTTGGCCAACGTGTAAAATATCCTGGTTTCAAAGTCTTTTTAGCTAGTAAGCTGAATAATAATGTGTTAGGTACAGTCTACTACTACTACGAGTAACTGAGCCAGGCACAGTGACGCATACCTGAGCTCCTAGTACTTGTGAAGACTAAGGCAGGAAGATTCCAAGTTGAGCCAAGCCTGGGCAATTGAATGATTTGCGGGGACCCTGTGGTCTTCTGGGTTTGTAATACAATTTGAATAACAACAATGTTTTTTAACTCCTCCTAAGAAAAATGGGGTTTTCTTTGAAAAGTGTATTATACTCAGAAGCTGGGCACAATGATGCGTGCTTGTAATCCCTGCGGTCAGGAGGCTGAAGCAGGAGGATCACTGAGAGTATGAGGCCAGCCTAGGTTACAAAGTAACTTCAAGGGCAGTCTGAACCATATAGTGAAACCCTTCCTCAAAAGAAAAAAAAAGTGCATATACACTCAAACCCAGTATTAACTTTCAATTTAATAAGTCTTCATTAATATTTAGAATAGATTGAGAAAGTTTTCTAGAAGCACAAAAGTATAGTGGATGTCATGGTCTTAACGTTTTGAGAATTCATGTTATTTTTGGGGGAGTGGGTATCGTGAATCAAACTCATGACCTCACACTTACCAAGCAGAATTCATACATATTAAGAGATAGTCACAAATAGCAATTTCTTGAGAGCCAGGAAATTCAACTTTGTGTATAATTAAATTCTATAATTCTATGCAAGTATTGTTCAAAAATAAATATATGATAGCATATTGTATTTTTTGGTAACTGTCAAGTCCTTTAAACTTTAGCATATCTGAAAAGAACTTGAAATAGGAGTTAATATTACAGTGTCGCCAGAAAGCAGTTTGAGGAGATAGGGAAGAAGTTGTTTTCTGGAGTATTGGACATAGAGTTCAAAGCAGCAATTAACGTGGTAGTTAGATCCTGTTACCAGTTTCCTTAAACTCTTGTTTCATACTGTTAAACCTTACAAGTTGTAACTTTCTGTTTTTCTCTTTGAATAAGGTAATCATTTTTACCACGTACTATAGAATCTACACTGATGTTGTTGGTTGGAAAACAGTAAACTTGCAGTGATCTTTAATCATTGTGTGACATTTAGTGCCAGGGTACTGGTTTTGGGAAGAGGATAATTGTTCATACCTGTTATGGTAACTTTCACTAGTAAATAGGAAAGCAAATTTTCCTTTTCACAAATGGGTTTGAGTTTATTCCTGCTTCTTTTGCTGGGAAAAAGTTACAGAAACAAATATTTGCCTTCTACTTAAACCCAAAGAACTCCCATTCTGTCTGCTGC